ATGTCAAGATAACTGAAGTTAGGAACATATTCTTTAAACTCCCTTACATGCACACTTCTCTTTGCAGCTGGGAAACAATGTATGCCCAATAAATCCTTCATGATGATAAAATGACAATGGTTGGGGGAACTTGTGATTGTCTACAAATGTCTACAGTTTTGAAAAGTGGTCACTTCAGAGACATTTCATTTGCATTACATTCTACCCAAAGGTAGAAGTCAGATAATTTATGGCTTTGCTTCCATTCTGACTTTATGTTGTTCTATATGAACCTCTAATTTCACTTTTCCTAAATGATGGAAGCTATGTTTGAAAAAACAAAAAAGACATGACCTGTGATTTGAGGATGTCAAGAAAAACAATCACCTCACTTATAGGAATATGACTAAAAATAATAGTAAGTTTTTTTGCTGTGATTTCTGTAAAGCAGACTGATTACTTTATAGTTACCTCATTTCTCGAAATCCTGTGTCTAGTGTAGGAAAATAACAATAGGATAGTTTTCTGAGTTTCAATTTGATACCAAATCACTACTCTGAAATATGCTTTCATGCCTGATTGGACATGAATTTTGACATAGCATAAAGGGCATAAAGCTTGAAACAGAATTCTGATGTTTTAGCTATAAAGCAACCAAAGGAAGTTTCTTAGCCTTTCTGGGGATCGCTATTTTCTTTTATTAAAAGGTGGATTTGGGTTTATGTGGTGCTTTGGTTGGTAAATCTTTCTGGGGACCAGAGCATCAGAAGGCATCAGATCCAGTGGTTGGAGACTGGGCTCCCACCAAGGTCTGGCACTACCATGATCTGTTTTGGCTACTGGCTGTTCTCGGTTTCATTTGTAACGAGTTCTGAGGCTCTGAAAGTTTTTGAAAACCACTGCTTATAAAAATTCTTTAAGGCAGCTTTCATTTCTGAAGTCCTCTATAGAATATAAAATTTGAATCCTTCTGTAAAGCCTGAGTAGCTATTCCTAATTTCCTTCATGTAGCTATTAGCATATTGGATATCCAGGTGTTTGCTAATCTCTGCATTTACCAGCAATAATCTGCATTTAGACTTTATATCTAGAGAAGTTTGAGAGTTCCAGTCCCAGCTTGACAGATTGACAGTCCTTCACAATCATGATAAGCTTCAAAAATGACTTTGAGAGTATAATTTAGAAGGGTAATTTACTTGGCTCCTGTATTATATTTATTGATTGTGTGCCTTGCCCACTAAAATTAATGTGTTACTGTTAGCATGGTGGGCTAGAAGTCACTTGGCCAAGGGTGTGGGTAGCCCCTGTGTGGTCTGTAGCTGTGCTTGCCTTCATCCACACCCTTAACCTCTAGTCCCCCCTCCTGCAAACTTGAGTTCTTAAAAAAAAAGAGGATCAGGCAGGAAAGTATGGGTGAATTCCCAATATCCATGCTATCCAATTAAAGGCAGTCAGAAACATACTCTTAAAACATGAAAGATAGCACAATTTATTAGATATGACTTTTGTAAAAACCAAAACAATTGGCCACACACACAAAAAATCTCATCACTACAGTGACAGAAAATGTATCTGAGATGTTTCACTCAATTATTTAATTTCTAAGAATTAACTAGCCTCTCCTGGCAAAAATGAAAAACAACTACAAACAGAAAAAATTCTCCTGCTCCTGAAGGACACTTGAACCAAGGAAAAAAAGATAATTCCGGACTAATGTGTATATTTCATCTACATCTTCCTATTTCCGAAATGGAATTTATGTAGTTTAGCAGATTGCTTTCTCGAATGAATAGTTTCAACAACTTTAACTAGGTGAGATCCATCTTATTTTTGTGACAGAACCCAGATTATATCATTTTTGAAGGATTCTTATTTATTCTTACAAGTGGAAGAATAAGAAAGAAAGAATAAAGATATATGCATATATCTTTATATATAAAATATATTTTATATATAAAAATATATATATTTACTAAAAATGAAATTACTATTTTAATAGGCATTTTCTTTGGCTGACATTATGGTTCCAATCCTAGCTTCTGAAGTCCTGATTTGTTAAAATACTACTCCCCTGGCAGACAGAGTAGCTATTTTAACTCACTGTCTATGAATCTTTTCTGTGGCAAAGGGATATCGTTTATCAACAAAGAGATATGGGAAAGTTCCCATGGGATTTTGAGCAAGTATATGATTCCTCTTAATCTCATTGGATTCAAGGTGCTCTCTTTAGTTTTAAAAATATGCGCAAGATGTGATTGATGCCACTTTCCTAACTGCAAGGTCATTTCTAAGGTCAGCAAAGAGAAAGTTACATGTCAGTGATCTGTCTCTTAACAGTACCAGGGAAGTATCTATAAGTGGCAGGGAAAAAATAACTGACCTTAGGTCAGCTAGCAAGGACTTTGCCAGGCTTTAGATTCTGAACTTCTTAAACCTCGTTGTAAGAAATAAGCTACTTTTAAACCCTTCTGCTGTGCTTCCACAATTCTATAAACATATTTTTATAAATAGCATACCTAATGTTTTATAATTACCTGTTTTCTTCTTACAGACTTGGTAACTTGAATAAGGCAGAAGCTGTGCCTTATTTATCTCATGTGACCAGCACTGAGCCTCCTATGTGGCACATAGTAGATGTCTAATAACTGCTTTTTAAGTGAATGAATGTTACGTGTCTCCAAGAGGGAGCGTTATTGGTTCACATGTGGGATGAAGATGAAAACACTCAAGGTTAAAATTTCACATCTAGCAAAGAGCTTTTTGTTTAAATGGGTGGTACCTTAGCTTTATATATTGTTCTATAGTTTTCAAGAATGTTCACTTATTTTATCCCATTTGATCCTTGCTGCAGATCTGGAAAGCTGGCAGGACCAATGTTCCTATTTCCATTCTTCACATGAAGAAACTGAGCTCTTGACCTAGTAAACTGTAGCACTATGATCAGAACTATGATCTGATCTCTATGCTTCACGGTGGGGGCTTTCATGAGAGGAGTCAGTTTAGACAATTAAGGTGTTTATGTCTGGATTCTACCTATCAATTTAATCTTTTGTTTGATCCTCTTTTCTTTCTTTAACATCCTTCGGGAAAGATAAATCAAAGTCATCTTTCCACACCTGGAATGTTTCGTTAGTGGGAAGCCATTTGCACATTCTTGGGGATACCTAATGGTGAGCAGGAAGCAATCAGATAGGCTAGGAAGCCGTGGCAGCACAGGAGCCGTGGCAGCATAGGTGTGTAACTGGTGGGCTGTACTTTTCAGGCACAAAGCTTTGGGGGCTTCTGATTATCCCATGTGAGTTCTCAAAGGAGCCCCTTGGTTAAGCAGCACTTTTATGGACACTGGGAGGTGCTTCAGAGATCTGTGTTGTTTTTCAGGCAAGTTCTGTGTAATGTGTGACCTATTACACACCACTGGAATAAAGGAATCCCTGAATTTCTAAAAATCAAGACTTAACTATAATATTTTTAAGGATAGTGACCATGCCTTCTTCATCTTTGTATTTTCCAAAGTTTAGCTTTGGGCTTTCCATATAGTAGGTTATAATTATTTGCTGAACAATTGAGGTGCATAGAGGCAAATGAGCCTCAATCAAATTTTGTACATTATGTGCTGACATCCCAAATGTCTTTTCTTTCCTTCAACCAATGTTATTACAGGCTATTCATGCTGATGCTGACGTCTAGCCAGTGATTCAATTTCAGAAGAAACATCTTGTCTATCCACCAGTGTTTGTGTGATCATTTGAACACTTCATTGCATTTGCGTTTATTAAAAAGGAGAGGAAATTAAGACAATGACAGGAATGATAGGGTGTGCTAACAGTGGTAAACATTGATCTCATGGTATGTTTGACTCTTTGGATTTAAGCTGATCAGCTCTGTGGTCAGTTGTGAAGAAAAGAACAGGACATTTTTGTCAAAGCTTTGTGCCTGCAAAGTGAAGTGTGATTACGGGAACTTTTAGAAAACGCCCCCAACTCCTTTTACAACGTGAAAATGTAGTTTGATTTTTGTCCGTTTTAGTTCATAAACATTTCATAAACATGTTGCATAAGAACCCAAGTTAATGGCATTGATTGGGAAGATGACCAATATTTATTACAAAGATCTTTAAATGGTGTTTTTTTGGGAGTAATTTAACAGTTTTCGTAATTATAAAACACGTTTGTACGGATGGTGTGACTGGGTCTGTATCTAAACCCGGGCGACAGGCACTACGGTGCAGTTCACACTCAGCCACTAACTGGGAGGGGCCCGGGAGCAAGTCGCTGGAATGTTCTGGCTCAGAGTTACTCATCGGTACCAACTGTATGGTCTCTGCCCAGGGTTATTTGCCGCTCCTAGACTGTAGTACCAGGAAGGCCTCTGCCACTGACTGGTGGGAAAAGCTGGGTTTTGAAAAGGCCGGGTCTAGGAAGAAGGCGCTCAGGGGAGCGAGACAAGGGCTTCCAACGTTCTTTTACAAAATTTGGAAACTGGGTCTGAGGCTGGAAGTCTCTGCCATTTCTCGTTTCAAATGACCATCAACAGGCAAAATAAAAGGAACTGCAATTCAAATTTTTATGTCACCCCATGGAAAACAGTTGTGTTGTTTTCGGCTATCTCCATGCCAAAGATATTTACTATTAAGACTTCTTCAGAAAGTGGTGTTTCTGTGTAAAAATCGTTGTAACATTTTGGAAGTGGGACTGCTGAGAAAATTTTCTGGATTACTGGAGTAAAATTTAAAAAAGCTCCCCAAGCAAAACTTCATCACCCAGGCAGTCTCTTCTCAATTATGTTTCTATTCAAAGCGTGGCTGGCACCGTTTCCAGGGACAAGCAAAAATAAACGTTTAGTTAAGTAATTATCCAATCGACTGGCCCTTACTTTTCAGCTGCTTTCCGCCCGGAGGACCGAGGAAATCCTCAAAAGCAGGGGCCACGCTTCCCGGTCACTGCAGTCGCCGCTGCGGCCCGGCCCCCGCGCCCCGGGCGCTCGGGTCTCGGGGACCGGGACCCCGCCCCCCCCGCCCCTCCTGTGCTACTCGGGCCGCGGCGGCGCAGAGCGGAGCGGCGGGCCGGTGGGCGCAGGTGGGGCGTGGGGGAGGCCCGAGCGCGTCGGTGACACCGCGTGGGGCGGGGGAGGCGCAGCGGCCGCACCCCGCCCTGGGAAGAAGCCGCCAGGTGTGGCTTCGGCGCCGGGTGCCAGCGGGGAGGAGACTCGCGCCCCCAGCGACCAACACCACCTCCCCGCCGCGACCCGGCTCCTCTGCGCCTTCGCCTCCCTCCGAGCCACAGCTCCTCCTCGCGCTCCTGCCCCGGCCGGTCGTCGTCCCCGGGGCCCACCTCCGCGCCCGCCCGCCCGCCGCGCCCGGACGGCCCTGGTGGAGACATTTGGCACCCACCCGCCCGGCCCCGTTCCCCGGTTTGGGACCTTCCTCTGAACCCTCCAACGTCTCCGCGCCGGCCTGCCCTCGCTTATGCCGCGGCGCTGAGCGGCTCTCCGAGTGCCCGCCGACATGAGCTGCAACGGAGGCTCCCACCAGCGGATCAACACGCTGGGCCGCCTGACGCGCGCCGAATCCGGCCCGGACCTGCGCTACGAGGTGACCTGGGGCGGCGGCGGCGGCGGCGGCGGCGGCGGCACCACCAGCAGGATGTACTACTCCCGGCGCTGCACCGTCGCCGACCAGAACTCGGACGGCTACTGGTGGGTAGCGGGCGGGCGCGCGGCGGGCAGGGGCTCTCCGCCCTCCCAGCAGGGTTCCAGCCCCGGGGAAGCGGGGACCCGGCCTCCTCCGACCCGCGAGGAAACCCGCGACCCGAACAGGGAAAGTTGCCCGACGTCCCGCAAGCATTTCCTGTTCGCGCTGGGGCAGGACCCAGGTGTCCGGACGCCCAGGGCGCGGCCCCACGTTTCTCCCTCCCCGCCGTCCGGGCGCGAGGCAGCCGGGGAGGGGTCTGGGCCGGGCGCGACGGCGGGCCGGGCCGCGGGGTCTCGGCTGCCTCCAGGATTGCCTGCCGCGCGGCCGGGCCGGGTTGGCATCCCCTTTGTCTGGGCCGGCAGGTGAGAGGTCAGGCAGGCGGGGCCGCGGCGGCCAAACCCAGCCTCTCTAGCTGTAGCCAAAAGTAAGACAGTGAAGGAGCGGGCGCCGGGCTCGGACTCGGCACCCCGTGGCCTCTAGTGGCTCATCCCAAGTTCCTGGACCCGTCGAGACCACCCCCGCGGCGGCGCCGGGCTGCTCTGCCACCACGGGCTTTTGGGTGGAGGCTGTGCGTCGGCGGTGCAGGGTCCCGTCCTGAGAAGGCCCTGCCGCCGCCTCCCTGCTTCCCAAAGGGGCCTTCCCGGCATGGGCGGCCGTCTGGCCCCCTGTCTAGTTCCGCGGGGACACGTCTGTCCCCCCTCGGTCCGCCGCGCCCTTTGTTTCCCCCTTTTTAAAAGCACCCGATGAATGACCTCAGTGTCCTGGTCGCAGAGCCTGCTCCTGGAGCAGGCAAGTGTGGGCAGGGGGTGCGGAGGGAAGGGCGCAGCTTCCCACCCGAGCCTGCACGAGACTCTGGGGGCCCGGGGGATCAGGGTACCTAGGGAAGCCCCCTGGGAAGAGGGTAGGGTCTGCTGCTCAGAATCCCCGCGGAAACCCAACAAGGGAACCGTTTGGGTGGGGGGGGTAAGGTAATGAGCCTGTATTTACGCGGTCCCCGGAGCTGGACGGGACACCCACTCGAGTCGTGAGAATTTTGCGCCCTCGGCCCGCAGCTGCCTCGCCCCAGCAGGCCCTTCCTAACTAGGGCTTTTGGGAAATAGGCCCGAGTTCCAGAATAGTATTTACGCTGCCTTGTGGCCTTAGGCTGGGGAGGAGCAACAGGAATACACCCCAGGGTTTTTTTTTTTTTGGTTTTGCCAGCAGTTTTGAAGGCAGAGACTACTCGAGTTGCAACATGTTTTCTGCTAAGATTAATTAATTAATCTTTTTTCTCCCCGGAGCATCTTTATCATTTATTTTCTCTTTTTGAGTTAGTGAAGAATTGTATTAATCTTGGAAATATTATTTTCTGAACAAAATGCACCTGGGGATTTCCAGTAAAGATGTGCCAAGCAATAGGAAAAAAAGGAGAGAAAAATTTGCCAGTTTTCACTTGGGTTTCTAAGTTTATCTGAAAACTTGGCCGACCATTTAAATCTGAAACTTCACTTTTACCTGCCAGTCTTCCAGTAGTTGGGAAGTACATTTAGGAAAACCATACATTTAAATGCAAATCAGAATTTGGAAGGATTCTTGAGCAGCATTTCTTTTTGGCTTCTTAAGAGCCAAGGGTTTTATTATACTATGATTTTAAAAATATGTCTCTGTTATCCTAAAGTGCCTATCCTTTAAATTGATAATAAACATTAGTGTTAATGGAGTATTTTACTCCCCTGGCTTCTTGTAGAAGTGAATTTGTAACTAATTGGTCTATTGGTTAATGAACTGGATAAAGATGCGTGGTTTATAAGGAACTTTACATTACATTTTGGGGAGGCGCCATGTTTGCTCATAATAGGGCTTCATTTTTTCTGCTTCCCCCCCACCAACTTAAAAGCTGTTTATAAACCTGTCAAGTTTTATATCTCTCTGGGAAGGGAAACAGACTCAAGTGAGAAATTACTTAACTTAGAGGAAGGGTGTTTTTTTCTGTGCAGTGATGTTGATCTGGTAGAGCAGCTGGGTGGCAGGCGGCGATGGAGACTAGAGTCAGCATGTGGCCATTCTTTCCTGA